GCGGGGCGGGGCGCGCCGCACCTAGCCGCTTCCTTGGCGCGCGCTCCTCGCTCCACCCCGGCCGCCCCGCCCCTCCGCCCTCGCAATAAGGGGCGCGGGCCGGGCGGGGAGGAGGGAGAGCCGTCGGCAGCCCGAGCCGAGGCGGGGACTCCAGGCCCGCGCCGTCGGGGCGCGTCCCGGCCATGGAGCTCTGGCCGTGGCTGAGCGCGGCGCTGCTGCTGCTGCTGCTGCTCGTGCAGCTGAACCGCGCGGCCAGGTTCTACGCCAAGATCGCCCTGTACTGCGTGCTCTGCTTCACGGCCTCCATCCTGGCCGCGGCCGTCTGCCTGCTGCGCCACGGCGGCCGGACGGTGGAGAACATGAGGCAAGGCGGCCGCCCGGGGGGAGCGCGCGGGGGGAGCGCCCGGGAGCGGGGCCGCGCGGCGTGGGGAGCGCCGGGCCGCCGCCCGCTTCCGCTTCCCTAACTTTCTTCTCCCCTTTCCTTCCTTCCTGCCTCCCCGGGCTCGGGCGGGCGGGCGCGCGAGGGGAGAGCAGAACTGAGAGCGCGGCCGGGGAGGCGGCCGGGGCGGGCAGGGATCTCCGGGAGCTGGCGTCACAATGTCCCCGCGCCCTTGCCAGGAGGCCCCGGCCCAGGGGCAGACCCTGAGGGATTTAAACACGTCTCGTCCCTGCGCCCAGCGGAGGGCGTGCCGGGTGGCGGGTGGCCGAGCGGCTTTCCGAGAGGAAGGGGACTGGACCAAGCTGGGACCGGCTCAGTCCTGCTTCACCCGCGGGGAAACCGAGGCCGGGAGGGCGGGGCTTGCCCCGGGTGGGCCCTGCCGGAGCACCGCGCCGCCTGGACTGGGCGCGCTGGGGCGTGTGGCGTCCGTCTCTTCTCTCCACCCGCCCCCCTCCCGCCCCCCTCCCGCCCACTCGCCAGGTGATGGATGCACCTGTGTTCAGGCGCCGGGGCAGGTCCCTCCTTCCCTTTCCTTCCTCTTCGCAGGAAGGTGGGAAGACTCCATGCTGGGGAAGGTGGGGAGTTGGCCCCTGGGGGAAGGAACGGGGTGGTGGCTGGAATTTTCCTGTGGAGGCTTTCGGGCGTGGGGGAGCTTTGCTTTCTTAGGCCAGGGTGTGGGTTGGTAAGGGGAGGTCAGGCTAGAGTGAGCAGAAGAGTTGGGGGCCTCTCCCGGTCAGAGGCTGGGGGTCCCTGCCTGAGAGAGGGCTCCTTCTTGCCCTTTCTCCCAGCTTCAGATCCCCGGGGGCTGTCGCTCACATTTCTCTCTGCAGCTTTTGCAGTGGCCTCTGGGCTGCGGCCTGGTGTGGGGATGTCGTGGTCCCTGAGCCACCCCCCCGCCGTGTGGTTCCAGGGCAGTGGGGTGGGTGAGGGTGCCTGGCTTTCTGCCGTCTCTGTCCTTGCCCAGCCCGGCCGGCTGATGCTGCTGGGCCTGGCCCACGCTTCATGGCCCCTCCTGGCCGGGTCTTCAGGGGTTCGTGGCTTCCCGTGGTGTGCTCAATAGGTCTATGGTGCCCCCCCCAAATGGCCCAGGCCAGCCACCCAGGGAACAAAGGCCCAGGGGCAGCCAGGTGTTGGCCTTCCAGTGCTCTTCTTAATGGAGTGCCCTCTGGGGAGGGGAGGGCCTGTTTCCACAAACAGGGAATCCTCAGGGCCGGGCCCCAGGCTTCGCAGGGCAGAGATGCCCGAGGTTGTGTGCATCTCTCAAGGCTGTCTGGAGATTAAGGCCCTGGGATCCCCTGCAGGCAGAAGCCTCCACTCAGTATGTGCTGGGGGCCGGAGCAGAGTAGCGGGGTTGGGGGGAGTGGGTTAAGGGAGCAACAGGCCAGTGGGCTCCTTAGGGGGGTTGCTGTCCTCCCAGAGCCAGGCCCGGGGTATGGCATGTCTGGTTCTGAGGCAGCAGGAGCCCTGGGCCTGGCCATCCTGGGATGCAAGTGGGTTTTCAGCAGGAGTGACAGGAGATTCTGGAGGTGACCCTCTTCCTCCCCAGGTGGCCTCTTTACAAATTGCTTCCTTGTCTTTTAAAAGGCCCAACCTGTTCTTCAAGGGCTGCCGCCTGGACTTCAAAGCTGCTTCCCAGGGGACAACTCAGAAGGCCCCAGCCTCCTTTCTGACTAGGCGAGGTGGCTGGCCCTGGCAGGCCGGCCAAACTAAGTCTCACCCTGCCCACCCCTGCCTGCCAGCCCTGGTCCTCTGGCCCCTGCTGGCATGGGCTTGCTCCCCTCAGCCCAGAGCTGGGCTCAGCCCCCAGCCTCACCCCAGATTCTGGCCAGCAAGGGTGTCCTCCTCAGGACCCTGGAGGCCCTGAGGGTGCTCTGGTGGGAACATCCTGCCGCCCTCCCCTCCCCAGGGCAGCGTCCAGACTCAGGCTCCGAGAAGGGGCCGCTCTGGACAAAACAGCAGGAACTCTCTTCTCCTCAGGGAGAAGGCAGGCCTGGGGGCCCAGCCTCCTTCCCCTGTCCCACTAGATCCCGCAGGGGTGGGTCACAGAGATGAACGGGGTAGGGGCGGCAGAGTCTGGGGTGGGGCGCGTTGTGAACATGAGTTCCCTGAGGGATGTGGCTGTGGGGGGGCTCAGAAATGCAGAGAATGCGCAGGTGCTGCATCCCTCCAGGCCCTGGGTCAGGGGCAGGACCCGGCAGGACAGCGGCGGAGGTGTGGGCGGGGCTGCGCGGGCAGCCCTCTCGATTCAGGCTCCTCCTCCGCCGGGATGTGCCGGGGCTGACCAGTTTGTCCCTGCACGGCTGAGCACCCTGCCTGCCCGCTGCTTTCCTCCCCAGTCCCACCCCGACTTCCGGAAGGACTGTGCCCGCCGTCCTCAGTGCCATGGTCTCCACTTCCATCTCCCGTGCACCGACTGTGCACCGCAGATGCCTCAATCTTGGGAATAGGCATTATTATGTGTCCTGTTTTGCAGATGAAGAGTCTGAGGTTCAGAGAAGCAGCTTGAAACTAAGGCCTCCAAGGGGGGTGGGGGAGGAGGGTCCTAGAGGGGACCTGGTAGAACTGGGATGCAAACCCTCTAGAGGGACCGCAGAGCGCATGCTTCTCATTTTCCCTCTGTGTCCACCCAGCTAGGGGCAGCGCCATAGCCGCCTGGGGCAGGAGACCAGGCTTGGGGCAAGCCGTGAGCTCTGGGAGGGGCAGCCCTGCCATGCCCCTCCCCCACTGTCCCATCTTCCCCCTGAGCGGTGGCCCCTCCCCGTGGGGCTCTGGGCTGGCACCAAGGAGCCTTCCGCTGTTTAGACTCGAGTTCTGACTGTGCAGGGAACAGTGATGAGCACCGAAGAGCTGAGGCAGACTGTTCTAACCGGGCTGGGGGGCTGAGACCAGGGACCCTCCCAGGCTGGCAGTGCTGTGTGTACAGGGCTGGGGTAGAGTAGAAAGCCACGTTTCGTTGTCCCAGGAGGCAGATGCCCTTATTACCCCATTTGACAGAGAGGAAAGTGAAGCCCAGGGAAGCTGTGTGTGTTAGAATTGGGCTTGGGTGCAGGAAACCCTAATAACAGCGACTTAACCAGGAGAGTTTGCTTTTTCGTGCATCACAGGAGACCAGAGCTGGGTGGCCCAAGGCCACAGAAAGCTTCCTGCCCCTCTGTCCTGTGGCCCTGTCGTTCTCAGGGTCCACCATGCCACTATTGCAGCAGGACCTCTGGGGATTGAACTGCACGCTTCTGTGTCCATCCTAATGGCCAGGGCCTGGGGGGCATGGCTCTTAGCTGCGGGGGGGGCCAGGCAGTGAGGCGCTCAGTCTGTGCAGCCTGGGCCCACGCGAAACATCAGGGAGGGGAGAATGGGCATTGTTTTGGCCACAGAGGCCAGGGGACTTGAAGCTGGTCAGGGTTTGAACCCAGGACGGCCCAGTCTCTTAGTTAGAGCTGTCAGCCACTCATGATCCTGGGGGGATACGTGAATGAGGACACAGTGCATTTGGGGAGCCGGCAGCACCTGGGCACTGGCCCGGGGCCCTGGTCTCACAGGAACCCTTGTTTTGTTTGGGGTGGGCTGGCGAGGGGCAGGCTCTCCTCGGGGTGTATTTCTATAGGCCCAGAAACCAGAGCTCCTGCAAGCCCTAGAGCCTCTTGCTCTTTTTTTTTTGGTGAGGAAGATTGGCCCTGAGCTAACGTCTGTGCCCATCTTCATCTATTTTATGTGGGATGCCTGCCACGGCATGGCTTAATGAGTGGCGTGTATGTCCGTGCCCGGGATCTGAAACTGTGAACCCCAGGCCGCCACAGCAGAGCACGTGAACTTTAACCGCTACGCTGTCGGGCCAGCCCCCCTGGAGCTTCTTGCTCATTAATGAGAGCTGGGAGGGTGTCCCTCGCTGGCCCCACCTCCTTCCAGCCCCGGGTTCTCCCCACTCCTGCAGTGGCCTCCTAACACCTCTGGGCGTCGGCACGGGCTGGAACCACCGCCCCCGGCCCTGTTCCCTCCTGTGCTTCTGGTCAAATGACACCTGTTGGAAACTTGTTGACACTTGTTGGAAAATGCTCGCTGGGGCCTCGTGTCCCCTGAGCAGATCCGTGGCTCTGTGTGCTGTCTTCCCAGCTGGGCTGCCCCTAAATGAACCCTACCAAGCCTCTTGCTCTCCGGGACAGGTCCCGTGGGCTCTGGCTGAGGACTGGCACACCTCGGCCGAAACAGCTGTCCCCGTCTCCCACGAGCCACCTAGCCCGAGTCCAGGGGCTGAGGGCAAAAGTCAACAGGTGGCCCGGGCCTCGCCTCGAGCTGCCTCCCAGCTACCTGGAACAGGTGTGGCTGGGGGAGGGGTGGGCCGGTGGGGGGGCCTCCTGCTTTCATTTACTCTGGGTTCTTCTCTGCTGCTTGTGCCTTCGTCATCACAGGCGCTGTTCGTGGAGGGCTCGGGGTACCGCAGCTCTTATGGGGCGTCCCAGCCTCATCGCGCTTGATCCCTCTACCCCCTTTCCATTTCACAGGCAGAAACGGAAGTTTAGGGAGGTCAAGTGCCTTGCCCAAGGTCACAGCTGGTGAGAAGAGAGCCGGGATTCAAATCTGGGTCAGTCTGACCCAGAGTGTGGGAGGGGCCCAGATGTCCTCTGGCGGCTGCCCGCAGCCCAGCCTGGGCCCCCACGGGCCCCAGAAGAATCTATGACATTTATGGTGCTCACTTCTAGGCCAGTGGTCCCAGTCTGGGGTGAAGTGGAGGGCTCCTGAGAAAGATCCGGGAAGGGCCAGGACGTCCCCGCTGCTTGAGGAGGTGGCTGCCCCTGCAGGCACTCGGAGGGGCCTGCTCCGGGGCCGTCTGCCTTGCCGTGGAAAGCTGGCACCAGTCACCCACCTGGCAGCTGTCAGCAGTGCTTCCAGAATGCCGGGCCAGGCACCCAACCCATCCCCTGGCCACCTGG